TGAGTAATCTTAGTTGCTCTATTAGCCTGAACGTCTGACATCTCTGCTGTTCTTTTCTCTCTCTCTCTCTCTCTCTCTTTGTTTCCGTAAGTAAATAAAGAGCAGCCTTCCCTTCCCTCAGGGGTTACAGATAGCGTCTCTATTATGGATCATGTGAGAAGCACCCTTTCTCCAAGCAGGGCATGGATGGGGATCCCTTCAGGTGGCTCTGTGGGGATGCCTGAAGCCCTTACCTGAGTGTAGGTGCAGTTCTTTTTCTTGCACTTCCCGCAGGTGAAGAGATCCGTTTGGGTCCCTCCGGTTTTGGCCATCTGATGCTCCCTGATCGCCTCCTTGGTCATGGCTTTCCGGATCTCCTTCAGCTCATTGCTGGCCATTTCCTTTCAGGGAAAGAAGGTGAACGCATGATCTCAGGTCGAGTCACTCATTTATGTATCTGTCGGCAGCATTTCTGCAAAAGATCCGTGTTTCCCAGCCGGAGGGTCATGACAAAGTGTTTTCTGATAGGGGTGTGGGTTGCCTTATGTATGTTGTACGTGTTCTGTGCCACCAAGCTGGAAGTGACCTAGAGCAACCCTAATAAGGGCTTCCAAGATTACGTGAGATGTTCAAGGAGTGGCTTTAACAATTCTACTCCCCAGTGACTTTCTAGGACCAAGTGGGGATTTGAATCCCTGCTCTCCAAAGTCCTTGTCCGTCACTCTATAATACACCACACCGGGAATCATAAACCTTTTAAAATAATTTCTTCCTTGACCTTTCAGAGTACGTATGTGTGTCTATGAGAAACCAGCCCTTTGAGGGAGAACGAAATCTCCACTTTCTCAGGTGGGACGGCTTTGCCCCATTAAAAATCCCTCTTTATGCAAATGTGTTGGCGAGGGGTGGGGGGGAATCACAGGTGATTTGGCTATTATAAAAGGGAGCCACGACTCAAAATTGCCTCACCCTCAGTCATCATGAGCCGAGGAGCGATTCCACTCCATTCATACCCTTGCAAAAAGTGGAGCTACTCTTGAGCAAGCTTGACACCACTTAAGCTGGGGATGGCTAAAAGGAGTGCAGAAATGTCACCTAATTTAACATAAGAGCCACGCTGAACCAGAGGAAAGGGGCCTCCTGGCTAGCAGGCTGTTTTCCACGGTAGCCAACTCAGCCCCTCTGGAGTAAAAGAGAGGCCGGCGGCTCCCTTCTTTCCTTCTGTCTTTTTTTTTTTTAACCTCAGAGGCGCAAAATTCTTTCCTTGTCCTTAAAGTTTATCATAGACTCCTGCCTTTATATTCGGTCCCTCTGGGAAGCCACCCAGGCACCCCCCGCCCCCAATCAAATGAAATATAAGACTCCTGGCCAACAATGGATAGTCTTCCTCGTGAACAACTGCTGTGCGAACAGTAGTGGGGATGATGTGCGTGATGAACCACTTCCAAATTATGCTGACCCTGATAAGGTTTTTAAGGCAGGCATAGGATGATGTTCCAGGAGAGCTTTTTTTCCAGGGCTTTCCTCCCTCTACCCCCCACCCGGGAGCTTCCAGGGCTGAGTGGGGATTTGAACCCAGGTTTTTTGAATCCCCCTCTGACACCTTAACCACTACACCCCACACAGGCTCTGGAGAATTTTGAGAACCCGGCCACGTGGCTCCTAGCTCTGCAGGGACGCGGGCGGACCGCCAGCAAGCCACCCCCTCGGGATCTTTCAGGCTCTGCAAGACCTCCCTTCTCACCTCCGAGGTCATCACGGCAATTTGCTCCGGGGTGATCACGCCGCACAAGACGTTCTTGCGGAGGTCGGGGTTCTTGGAGTCCTTCAGGTTGGACAGGCGGCTCCTGATTCGGTTCTTGTATTTCAAGTCCGTGTTCTTGACCTCTTGGTAGATACGTGCAAAAAAGCCGTTAAGGAGCAGCCAAAGAGATTTTTGTCTGAGCTCCTGCCACAATGACCTATTGCCGTGGCTTGTCTTGTTAAAAAAAAAAAGAGTGGGGGGGGGGAATTCACAGACCCTGTATTTTTCTGTACCTGGAGAGAAGCTGGAGAATGAGAGAGACCATCCGGAGAAGAAGTCCTCTGAAAGGATGACCAAGAACTGTGAGGAAAGTCTGAAAGAACTGGGCCTGTTTAGCCTTGAGAAAAGAAGACTGAGGGGTGATAGGGCAGCCCTTTTCGAAGACCTGAATGGTAATCATCCAGAGGAGGGGCAGGATCTGTTCTCCGTCACCCCATGAGTGCAGGGCACATAATAATGGGCTCAAGCTCCAGAAAGCTAGATTTAGGCTGGATATCGGGAAGAAGTTCTTACCTGTTAGAGCAGGATCATCATGGGACCCATGACCTCGAGAGGTGTTGAGCGCTCCAAGGTTGGAGACATTCAGGAGAAATTTAGACCACTCTCTGCCAGATCTGCTTTTGATTTGGATCCCTGCGTTGAGCAGAGGGTTGGACCCTGTAGCCTTAGAGGTCCCCTCCAACTCGATGATTCCATAATTCTATAAAACGCCTTTTTGCCAGATCTCTCCACAACGAAAAGAGGAGGAAAACCATCACGGGAAGTAAGTCAAAGGGTTTTATCTCCTTCTTCAAAGGGGCCTTCTTTCCTTACCCCCCCTCCTGCGTTGGAGGTCTCTACTCTCCAGATCCCACCTTCACTCCCAGGCCTAACCTAGAGACATGAAGACATCGTCAGAACCCTCTGCAACGCAACGCAAATGTGGCTCCCATCGCTGGAAGCAGTTTTATTCTCATGGAAATATGGACTAGGACATACATTTCCTTCCAAGAATATGTCAGACCACAATGGGCTCCAGACCATCATAGGGTCCAATGGGTTGCGCTCCCGATTAAGCTGCTCCCAGTTCACCTGTTCTTCCCTTTTGCTCCTTGGGCATTGCTCACAGGCAGTAGTGCAATCCAGACTCAAAGATCTGCCAGCTAGATAATGGGTGTGGCATGGGCAACATTTCTGGAGCCAGCCCCACTTTCCCTGCACCAGTTGATCTCAGATCGGCCCGCACAGTTGTTCCACCTGATCCCAGCTGGCAGTAGAGCCATTTAAAAAAAAAGCAGAGGAAGAGGATGCTAATCTTTGTTAGATCTTGCTCTGCCCAGACTCATAGCTGCAAGGCCAGCACTAAATCAAGTCAGGATCAGGCACAGGAGGGACACACACATCCCTTATTGACAGGACCAACATCCACTGGTTCACCGATCTATGGTCTGAAAATATGCAAATATTTAGAAGAATTTTTTCCCTATCACCGATCTATGGTCTGAAAATATGCAAATGTTTAGAAGAATTTTTTTTTCTATAAATATATATTTCTAATTATGAAATTACCAGAACTGGCCACGAGAGGGAGCCGGAGAACAAGCTATGTGTAGCAATTGCTGTGATATTAGTGTTTGCTATAATCTGCATTTTTCAGCATCTGTGGGGGACTTAGAATTCACCCCCTGCAGATACAGGGGTCTTACTCTAATTCAAAGTAACTTTAAACCATCTCTAGGCTGAGTAGGTTTGGATTCAGTATAGCCACAGATAGCTTACTCTCAATCATCAAACACATTGACTATTTAGGATTGTGCTTCTCCTTTTTCTCCCCTGCCTTACAGCATTTTGCTAAAGTATAGGGATCCTTTCTAAAGAGTTCAACAACATCCTAAAAAAAAAACAGTCCAACCTGTATGCTTCTTGAGATTTTCTGGAAAAAGCCATGGCCAAACACTTTTCAGCGTGTTGCGCTGTACAGAGAGACTTAAATATAAAAAACATCTGGAACAGTGGCAGCTCCAAAAAAATAAAAATAAAAACAACAGCAGCAACAACAACACTCAAATTCTTTCCAAGCAAGGATATATTCTTCTATCTGGGCTGAGATCTGCTCACAGTCGGCGCCAATAGCTACATAGTCACCTGCGAAGGAACAGGAATAAATTAATCAGACTCCTCTCCTAACGGACAAAAAAGAGCCAGCAGGCGAGAATGATAGACAAATTTCATAGCACGCAGGGGTCCCTCTGCACTCAGAGGTCCAGAACATAGAGCATAGATTTCAGATACATTTCCAACTCAAACAATTCTCTGTAGCTTATTGGGTTTTTTTATTATTATTATTGTAATACATATCCTACCTTTCTGGCCAAAAAAGGACACTTGGGGCAGAGGTAAACTCAAATAAAAACCAATACAATTAAACTTTTTTTTTTTAAAGAGTTTTACAACACCATCAGAATAAATCTTTTAGAAAAGAATTATAGAGCACTCAATGAGTGCTAGCTAGAGCACCTCTTCACACTGGCCTAGCATAAATGCCAAAATCCTATCTAAACAACAACGAAAGAAAAGTGACCTAGGAAAAGTGGGAAATGGGTAGAAAATGCGACAGTGGGACCAGGATGAGCACAGAATAGGATACCAGTCTGAGAAAGCCCAGTTTCACAGCAGCCATTATTAACACTAACCAACCAAAGGAAGTTTTATAAATGCAAAGATTCAGGAAGGTAAAGAACGAAAAGACATACGGAAAGAAAGGGGCAACAGCCAACAATATTTCCTTACCGTCCGTCTGTAGAGCAGAGGTCAACATTTCTCGGCACTTGGTACGCACGGTGTCACATGTGACAGGCATCGGTGGAAAGGTGGTGATTTTTGGAGTAGTGGGGGTTTTCGGAGGATCCTGTCTTTTGGTGGAGCTAAAAGAGACACTGAGCAGGTTAGAATTTCTTGGTCCACAGGACGGAGATCAAGCTGTGTTGAGCGCAAGAGAATGTAAAACTGGGTAAACTTTGAAAAAGAATCTAAGCTCCCAAAACCGATTCACAGAATCATGGAATCACAAAATAATCCAATCAGATTTGTAAAAAAAAAACACCTGTGCTTCGAAATTTTTCAAACCCCCAAAAGGACCCCATCAAGGGATGGAACAAGGTGACATTATTCCGCTCCTTTCACAATCTGGTGGCTGAAAACCTTGGAATTCACGGCCACTGGAGGTCCGTTTTGCCCCATCTTTGCTATCCTTCCACAAGCAGGCAAAGACCGTTCTCTTTAGGCAAGCCTTCCCTTCGTAACTAGCTACCTGTGTGTGATTTTAGTACTACTTGTGTTTTCCATTTTTGTCTTTTCCATTACTCAGAGTAGCATTTTTTTTAAAAAAAATATTTGTATACTCATTGTTCTTAGCTTTAAATATTGTCTTTTAATAACGTTAGCCACTGTAGCATATGCATGCTGGCATATTGTGAGCTCAAAACGGCATTTCCGAGCTATGATCCATGTACTCTCTTAATCTGTAAACCTGGTGTGAATTTTCCTGGATCAATTCCTGTTGGATGGCAGGACGCCACTGTCAAATTCAACTAAAAGCCTCCTATCAAATCCCTTGTTTTGACAGTAGACTCAAGTGGGATTATGAGCATCACAGTCCTACTGGATCAGAACAAAGGCCCATCTCCACATGCAATCCCAAGAGTGGGCCAGAGTTAGCTATAAGATACCCTGAATCAAAAATGAACTTACCCTGTTTCCCCACAAATAAGACCTAATCTGAAAATAAGCCCTAGTAGGATTTTTCAGGATGCTCGTAATATAAGCCCTACCGCAAAAATAAGCCCCAGTTAAGTGAAACCTGGCCCTCCACCCTTGTGCACAAACCAGATGACATGACTGTATTTGAATAAACATAGATTGTCGTACATGGAAAAATATAAAACATCCCCTGAAAATAAGCCCTTCTGTGTTTTTTGGAAGAAAAATTAATATAAGAACCTGTCTTATTTTCGGAGAAACACGGTAATCGACTGACTATATTTTCAGACCATCAAATAACCATTGTGCAGTATGTTAAAATATAAAACACAGGCAATAAAATGATCAGTGGAAATAGCACCCCACGAAACCAAGATAAAACCCACCACACTATAGAGTCCTTAGAAGTGTCTAAATAATGAGCTGAGTTTCTAACAGAATAATAATATTACCAGTGTCTGTATTCATGAGTGTACAAAAAACAGGATTATAGAAAGGAACAGAGATCAGCATTATTCTGGAGTTCGACTTCTCTCATTTTACTACTAGTGCTAAACCTTTAAGGCTGAATTTTGTTTTATGTATATGGTTCCCAATTCTGGGTGTAAAAGAAGGCAGCAATATCAGATACATATATTATTTTGTAATCCTAACAAGAACATTTTAGGCAGCCCATGACCCAAGCAAGAGGAAAGGTGTGTCCTGCCATGAGATTTTGGGTGCTTTCAGAAATTTCAGCATTATCCACACATTGAATGACCTGAAAGTCATCATTTGGGGGGGAGGGTACCACAAAATGAGATACAGCTGTGATAAAGTGTATACTAAAGCTGGAAATCCACTTAAAAGGACTGAACATCAATCAGGGGTTCTTAAGTCATTACTAAATATGAAATCCTACGTTGATTCACATTGTTGGCCATCTGTCTCAACTATGCTATTGTTACTTCAGAGACCCATAACTGAAATTATTCACAGCCTGATAGCCCTATTGGTTTACTAACGAACCATTGTCACATTATCTATTATATCTATCCCTGCTTGGTCATGGGGCTGCATATAAATATGGCAGTTCCTACGGTCTCAATCTTATGTCCGAGGAAGTGGATTTGACCCAAGAAAGCTCACATTAAAATCTAGCAATTCGTCTTTAACGTGCCGCAATATTTTTGTCTCAATATTTTTGTTGTTGTTGTTTTCTCTGATATGTCCTACAAGAGGGTTAGATCAGCATTATTCTGGAGTTCGACTTCTCTCATTTTACGTTGATTCACATCGTTGGCCATCTGTCTCAACTATGCTATTGTTACTTCAGAGACCCATAACTGAAATTATTCACAGCCTGATAGCCCTATTGGTTTACTAACGAACCATTGTCACATTATCTATTATATCTATTCCCCCTTGGTCATTGGGCTGCATATAAATATGGCAGTTCCTACGGTCTCAATCTTATGTCCGAGGAAGTGGATTTGACCCAAGAAAGCTCACATTAAAATATAGCAATTCGTCTTTAATGTGCCACAATATTTTTGTCTCGATATTTTTGTTGTTGTCGTTTTCTCTGATATGTCCTACAAGAGGGCCTTATCTCAGCCCCCACCAAATAATTTTACTCAGAGAAAAATAAAGCAAAAATGAAACCTACGCCTCACCGATCAACGACTAAATTATACCAGATCAATCACTTCACGGAACGTTCCTTCCGTCCAAGTAACTAATCTATATGATCACTAAGGTTTGTTTCGGAATGTATTTTACTAAGACTAAATTCTGTGAAAGCTCATTAAAATAAGTTCATCTCTAAGGTCCTTAGGCAGGACAATTTCCCAGTAAGACGTGCCCTGTTTTGTTCATCCTGCAACAGTAAATGCTAACTCCCCTACTGGATTGCACCAAGCCCCCTTGCCTGACAAAACACCTTTCCGTCTGAACTAATTTAATCTCAACAATGCCACGGGGCATGTGAAGCCCTTCCGATGCTGCTGGAGAACATCTCCTCCAACCACCGGTTTGGCTGGAGGGCACTGACAGCAGTGGGACATTAACAGCATCTAGAGCAGGGCTTCCCAATCTTGGGTGGCCAGATCTTTTGGGACTAGAACTCCCAGAAGTTTTTGCCACTCGCTGTGCTGGCCGGAGTCTCTGGGAATTGTAGTCCAAGAACATCTGGGGACATCAGTTTTGGAGTCACTGATGTAGAGGGACAAAACATTCCGTAGTACTGGAAAACAGACATTTCGACAAATCTCATAACAGGTTTTTAGTGGTCCAGGAATGTAAAAACTAATCTCATATTTCAGTCAAAGCAGAAGCAGTTGCTCTTAGTCAGCTGAGAGTCAGATTCCACCTATTTTATACCTTGCGTGTATGTTTTCTGTGCTTATTTTGTGGTTTGATATTGCTTTTCAGAAAGGGTTTCAAGTCACACAGATTCCTTCAAAGTTAATTTGTTATCAGAAATCAAGAAGTACTAGATGTGACCGAAAACTTCCCAAATCAGTTAGATCAGAAGCAGTTGCTCTTAGTCAGCTGAGAGTCAGATTCCACCTATTTTATACCTTGCGTGTATGTTTTCTGTGCTTATTTTGTGGTTTGATATTGCTTTTCAGAAAGGGTTTCAAGTCACACAGATTCCTTCAAAGTTAATTTGTTATCAGAAATCAAGAAGTACTAGATGTGACCGAAAACTTCCCAAATCAGTTAGATTGAGAGAGACGTGTATGTTTTCTGTGCTTATTTTGTGGTCTGATATTGCTTTTCAGCAAGGGTTTCAAGTCACACAGACTCCTTCAAAGTTAATTTGTTATCAGAAACCAAGAAGTACTAGATGTGACCGAAAACTTTCCAAATCAGTTAGACTGAGAGAGAGAGAGAGAGAGAGAGAGATTGAAAAATAGTTTTACATTAAAGTTACTTCTGAAATAATAGATATCCACTAAATAAGTGTAAGCAAGGTGATATAAGCATAAAATAACTGCAAACAAGATGGAAAACAAGTTGGGAGTTGCATTACCAATTTTTCAGAGATAAACTATTCAGTGAGTTTTGAGGGGGAAATCCATGGAGGGCTGACAAAAATAAATAAATAAATTGGAGAACTGCATGCATCCTGCACGCCATGCAACGCCTGCCTTGAACTGAAGTGACAGAATGCATATAGCTATTATATACGGGATGCTGGAGATATGTTGGCCAACCAGCACGCCTGGACAGAAGAGTAAATATTTGAGATCTGCCTACTAGATCTGAGAATCTAGACTCTACGTTTTATTGAAGAGGACAGCTGTTAGATCCAAAGGTTTCCAATGGGTAAGCCTTGATCAGAGCTTTTCACTCTCTGCTATGGAGCACCCTTGCGTCACGCAGAATGCATTAGCAGATTAGGGCCGAGGCCCCTTTCCAAGAGGTCACACTCTGCAGGGGCCCTTCCCCTTGTGTCCCAGCCCAACCGCTCACGGACCTGAAGCTGCAGGAAGCGCGTATTTCGGGCTGGCAAGTTCAGAAAAGCTTTTTACGGTTCAGAATGCCCAAGGAATTTGTGCTGCTCAGGAGACCATAGATGGTCATATCAAATGACAAGGATGTGCCATCAAGTCAGTTCTGACTTATGACCACCTTTGCCAGGGTTTCTGAGGTATAAATTGCTCAGAACTGACCTTCCTATCTTTGGTGGCTTCTGGTGGCACTCTCCCGAAAGTGGCTTTTCTCCTGGGAGACACAAGTGGGAAATTCCACTCCCACCTTCTGGCTCTACAGACTCAATGGGGAGGTTTGGCTCTACCACCCGTTATGGTTGCATTTCTGCCACCCTCAGTGTTTACTTTTGCAGTCCTTCCCTGAAATATGTGGGAAAACTCACTGGCTTGAGTAATCCAGGACTGGCTGCTCTAACAAGCCCCAGTGCATGTTTACTCTGTTTGTGTAGGTGGATGGCGGATGGCTTGCCCTGCCACAAAGCTCAGCTGAAGCTGTTAACCTCGTAAGCACATTGAAGTATTATCCATTTCCTTTCACAGTTCACTTATGGGAATGAGAACAGTCTCAACCAAACAGCTACAGTTTGGCTTAAGAAAGCACACGGCTTGCCTTAGTGCACTCAAGCCATGCATTAATTAAGACGAAAGGCCCCACAGATAATGTGAAAAGACTAGGGTTGCTGTTACTTTATCCATCACCAGGGAAGGAGCATCATGTGGCAAAACAGTTGTGTGAAGCAAATCTGTAGCTGAGCTACTTCCCAAACTTATGAACCCAAACCACAAAAACGCAAGGTGACCGATGAAAAGGTTGACCAAACCCAAGCCATGTTTCTTATGACTATCATTTACCTGTGTGATGCGGGGCTAATGGCCTAGTGTAGTGGCTGAAATCCTATTGGCATAACGATACCTGCAGAAGGCTGATGACATCATTAGCAGGCAGCAATTTTCAGTAATTAAAAACACCCAACTTCTGTCACTCAGTTTGTGCAATCCCTCTTCTCATGTGGAAGCTGCATGAGAGAAGGAGGGAGTCATGATCAAAAATCATCCCCGCCAGGATATTATCCCCAGATGCAACTTCCAGTAATTAAAGTCTTCCTCTTCCCATCCCATGGTTCCCACTTGATGAAAGGGATTATAGAGGACACCTGGGGGCTGCAGAAGTAGGAAGTGTTTAATTTCTGAAAGATCACTCCCTGCTGGTAACAACATCAGCTTTCCACAGGCATACTTCCATCAACAGAATTCCAGTCTCTGGCAGATTCTTGATAGAGAAGGGCACAAACTGGTTTGTCCCAGTTCGTCCCGGTTCATAAAGGTGCCAGCACAGGTCCTGCTGCTCCCCTCCACAGCCTCAGCCAATCAGCCACTCACCAGGCCCAGCTTGCTTGCTTTTCCCACCTGCTCAGCTAATCTCCCAGTCAGGAGCAAGAGCCCAGACTTCTCTGCCCCGCCCTTTGGTCTGAGTGGCAGTTCAGGCAAGAGGGCGGGGCAGAGAAGCCTGAGCCATTGCCAAAACTGGAAGATCAGTTGAGATGATGCTGGAAGCGAGGGCGCTAGGCCTGGTGAGGGGCTGATTGAGACAGAGGAGGAGGGGAGCAACAACACCTGTGCTGCCGCCTTAACGAACCACGACGAACTGGTTCGTGCCCACCTCTAATTCTTACCTTTCCAATTTACAGACTGAGATATGGAACAAAGGAATTAAAATCTCAGCAGGTGTGATCTTGTTCCTGCCATTAAACACAATCAAGATTCTGTCTGTGGCGGACAAAAACTTTTTGCAAAAGCACTGCAAAATAAAAGGCCAAACCCAGATATGTCCATGGTAAGCACCTAGCAAAGGAACTGAATTTAGGAGAAAAACATATAATCCCAAACCGCACAGAAAAAGTAACATAACTGACAACGGACATAGCAGTTAGACTAACCATGTGGAGCACTGGACATCTGCAACATCAGGATTTCATTGCAAAGTCAGCTTCTCCAGATTGTTAAATAGTTACAAAAATGTGTTACGTCTGAAAGTTTCAGACAACCAGCTCCTAAGTGGTTGGTCACTGTGGAGCCACATTTTAAGGAACACCTGGCTAGTTATGTGGCCTTGTGTTTTTATCCAAAGAACATTTTTTTTCTACCAGCATTATTACATATTCATAGAAACGCCCTTTCTCTTGTGGGGGCTAGGACCATCAATAGCTAAAATGCTGTTAGCACAGTACATTGCACTAGAGTAGGCCCTTTCAATCAGTGAGAATTTAGTAAGTCAACTCCTCCATAAGTTCCACTGATTCAAATTGGTCTCCTCTAGTATTTTTAAAGGAAATAATGGAAGAAATCCTGTCGCTTAGCATAGTAACTAAGGAAGTTACTCATTGTATCAGAAGGAATTTGGTCACAACTAAGGAAGGCTCGTTGTATCAGAAGGAAATTGGCAAGTCAGCCCCTTTAGTTCCATTGGTTCAGAATGTTCCATTGGTTCAAATGTTAAAGTCACAACTCTTGTTGTGACTTTAGCATTTGGAAACATAGCGTTTACACGGGATTTGACTCATGAAATACCCATTGATTCAATGGGCCTATCTGAGTGCAATTTACTACACTACACAACAAGATTTTGGCCACTGACTATTATTCAAGATGGCAATATCAGCTCTAGCAGTTTCTGGAGAATAGAATACAGGAGTTACAGTTGCACTCATGTTCTGCTAGAGAGTTTCCCAGAGTCAAATGGTCAGCTACCGTGTGAACAGAATGCTGTTCTAGATAGGCCTTTGGTCAGATCCAGCACAGTTCTTTCTAATCTCAGAGAGACTAAGCCAGTATGAACTATCTCCTAGAAATGAAAACCCATGTGCCAGCTGGCCTGGGGACTCATGAAAATTTGTACAAGTCTGATGCGTGACAGGGACTGCTGTAAACTGAGCTTGGATTGGAAAGGTTGCAGGATTGCTGCATGGCCCGCTGTTTCTACTCTTTCTTTCTTTTACTCTTTCTACTGTTTCTTTCTTTCTAAAGAGCTTTCCTAAACTCAACGGTTAAGGAAAAAACCATGTGTATGAGTGTGTGTCTGCATGGCACATGCGGGACAGAAGGAAGGGTGGGTTAACAAGTATGGAAAAGAGCCACAAAGTAAATCAACAAAACCAGAAGGAATGTTTTTATTAATAACACATGAGGTTTGAATTAAGAAGAAATGAAGGTGAACAAAATCATAAACCATCAAAATAATCTCAGAAACGCTGCTGTGTTTTGTAGACATTTATTTTTGTTTTATTTACAACTGTAAACTTTTTTTTTTTAAGTCACCACCTTGATTGATCTCCCTGTAGCACTCTCTCCCTCTGGGCAGCCTTCATATGTCAATATAAAGACAAAATGATCCCATTCTGTTTTAACACTGGAAATTAATTGTGGTGCCAAGATGGGGGCGAGAGAGGACCAAATACAGCAACACCATTTCTGGCTAAAGGGAAGCATTACCTTTGGTCTCTTGGGTTGCCGCTCTCCTTTGAGGAAGCTGGCAAGTTCTTCTTCCTCTCGTCGCTTTTATCCTCGGAGGCATCTGAACATCGTAAAAGAGCCGCAGGGAAGAGAAGAAGCAACAAAAGAATTAATTGCCATCCGGACTGAGATCCTCTCTCTGTACCCAGCAGATGTCTAAAAGCGTCTGACTGCTTGATCATTCTTAAATGATCCATACGGGCAGCCCAGTGTACAAGCTCTGGGCAAAAGCAGAGACACGGTTCAGCATGATGGCAAAATACATCATTCCAGCCTCCTGCACCCGGGCATTCATTTCTCTGATAATTCTGCTGATCACAGTGGCTTATGAAGCCTTGAAGAACAACACCACCAAAAGTTAAGAGAAGAAGATGCCTCTCCCAGCAATAAAGGGTCCACCCCAAAGGCTAGAAAACGGATTTTGTTCTCATCAGTCTGATGGTTCTCCGAGCATTGCCTGAAGTTATGTTTTTGGGTTGATACTAGTATCTGCTCGTTAAGAGGAATAAGAGCAGGCATATTTTAGTACTAACATTATAGTCCAACTTCCTACGTAATGAATGTTCTACAATGTTAAGAAACAATTTTTAAAAGGCAACCAGGAGATGCATCTTCTGTTAACTGAATTGTGGGGACTGCAAGTTTTGACTCAAATGATCGACAAAAGGACTGTAAGGTAACAGACACTCTGAGAAGAAAGGAGGGGAATGGTTCTGGGCTTTTTTTTTGCCCTGCTTGTGGATTAACTCTGCATGAGCAACTGGCTAGATGGATTGTTCCATCTAAATCACCAGCACCCATCTTATATTCAAGTGAAACTATCCAAACGTATTTTTCTCCTTACCTAGAAGTTTCTTCCAGGCCTTGATCAGTGATTTGGCCAGTGTGATCACTTCTTCATCCGTGGCTTGCTTCCGAAGCGCATTCACAGACATCCCAATCCGGGTAGACTGCAAACCAATAAGGAAGGAGTGACCAATTCATCAGACTAAGGCCGGTTAGATAAAGGTTCCCACAAAAAGGAAGCAGTAGCTAAAGACAAAGGTCAAATCTCAGGCTTTGTAACGGTTTGTGCTTGCTTCGTTCAATGAAACAGCACTTTTTTTCGTTTCAATTCTTTATAACCCTTTTCTTATTCATGCCAGAAAGGATTCTGCCCATTCTGTGTAAGACCTGGGTTCTGTCTTGCTCTGCCCGGGGACATCAAGGACTTACCCAACTGGAGAGAGGGCGCTGAATGGGCTGCAACTCTCCAAAAACATTAGAGCTAGGGAAGCGTGCAAGTCAACTGATTAGCAGCACAGTCAAGATAAAACAAATAAACACTTCCTGATGAAACTTGAAGCTCAGTTAAAGAACTCACAATCACAGGATACTGCGATGACTGCTAAAAGAGAAGCATGGGTAGAGGAGAGGAATCTGTCTAAGCCTTCTACTCTCAACAGACAGAACATAAACCTCTGGGCACAGGATTCTCAGAGGCAGCTTGAGGCTAGAGCGCATTGCTCCCCATCAGGATTTCCCGGTAGATTTTGTACTAGATGTCAGGATGACCACTCAGGGAAGCAATGTGCCAGATCACACTGAGCCACTGTCCTTTCAACAACCTGGGTCTGCTACGCATGTTTATTTCACTGGAGATGGCAAGGGACTGACTTGCAAACAAGCAACTGTTCCCAATGCTTGAAAATAATGCCTTACAAGTAATTACATTTCTTGCAATGTGCTTCTTTTAGGGGTAACGAGAAGCAAGAATATTATTGCCCCCCCCCCAATAAATGTTGAAACAACTAGTAATCTCATTATTTTGTAGTGTAACATATGTACTGGAATCTTAGTACTAGTTTTTGAGTGCATAAGTGGAATTGAATAAGTCACTGGAGTGAAGTGCACTAATTAGCCAGGGGTTGGTTGCATTCTTGGCCAGGTGCCCAATCATGCAATAGTTACATAACCAGGAACATGGACTGCATCTCATTAATCGGCAACAGTTTGCCACCACAACTAATGCAATTTCACTTACACATACATAAACTACCAATAGGATTCCAGCCATACTGTTATTCATTGATTCTAAATAGGAATAGCCAAGGACTCATTTAGACAGGGTTCAGACAATTTTTGGATTTCCTTTGCTTTTTATATTTAATCATACTTTCTTTCTTTTTTTTAAAGTAACTAAAAAGTAACATGTTAGTAACACCTTAGAAATGTAACACATTACTGAGGTCCTACTCTCAAAATAGTAAGTTATACAAGTAATGTCAAAGAGTTAATAATAAGAACTAACAAGTAGACAATGTATTCGCGAAGGCTTTCACGGCCAGGATGTAATGGTTGTTGTGGGTTTTTCGGGCTCTTTGGCTGTATTCTGAAGGTTGTTCTTCCTAATGTTTCGCCAGTCTCTGTGGCCGGCCTCTTCAGAGGACACCACAGAGACTAGCGAAACGTTAGGAAGAACAACCTTTAGAACACGGCCAAAGAGCCCGAAAACCCCACAATAACAAGTAAACACTTATTCTGAAAATGTACCAGGTTCTGGGTATCAGCGTGCTCCTTGCAGTTATCCTGAATCCAGGGAAGAGTAGCAAGAATAATGCTGATGCTATTTTATTTTACAAGAATAAGATGATATGGTTCTCCCAACTTCTTAATCTGGTACCCATAACATTATTTGGGGAATTTTATGTGTGTGCATGTGTCTGGTCTCTGGGTGTCTGTGAAGTTCGTTGTATGGGTATACTGTGTATATACTTACAATGACAATAAAATTATTATTATTATTATCTGAATGAATCATGATTCATGCACCTTGGTTACAACTCTTGAAACACATCCTTCTGGCTAGAGTCCTGAAAGTCTGGGAGAAAACTAGGAAAATTGGTCCCTTCCAACTTGGCAGTTCTAAGATGACGATGACGACGATGATGAAAATTCAGGGGTACTTTCTTAGTAGCATCATAAGGCTTTCTTAAACTGGGGGGGACATCAAAAAAGGTCTGCTAAAGTAGTGAAACACCTTTCAAGGTAAGGTTTCACTTACTCAGACTGCCAGGAACTGCAGAGTATTAAGATTAGCATGCAAAACAATCTACAGAAATAGACAAGGATAATTACATTATGCTACAGACGTATACTGGCACTCCCATACGAGATGTATTTCTGCAACTAGTGAGTGCTGCCATCTGCATGAGAGGAACATGGGTTTCACTGCTGGCAGCCTGTTTGCATTCTTTTGATTTTTCTCATTTAGTAGAGACAGCCCTGCAGAAGCAAGACTGCTTGTATCTAAATAATACACTCTGTTTTAATTTCTGTTTTCTACGTCTCGGATGGCAAAAACAATGATCTATGTGCTCAGGATATGGAGGGTACAGCAGTTTGTAACTTCTCTCCATAGTGCACAGTACATTGCCAATTCCAGTACCATAACTAGTACAATCTTGCATTCTAAGTTAGAAATGAACTATTTTAGTTTTTTTAAGACACTGAAATACATTTTGTTCAGATGTGAAAATAAGCATTTTAATTTTTTTCTTCGTCTCTAAGGGTTTTCCCCAAAAGGAAAATAATTTTCACCAAATGGCTTCAAAATATCTGAAAATTCTGCATCGACATTTCTGGCTGATTTCAATGAGCTGAAGAGATTATGCCAACCACTTTTTGAAAATATTAGTGCTAATGATCACCAGCTCTTTAGTCCTCAAGCCATCACAAATGCCATTGCAGTAGAGATTATCAAATTAGATATGTCACTGAAGAACCAAAAAGAAAAAATTGCACATTGCATTAGATAAACAGATGCCAAAGCAGAAGCAAGAGGCTGGTAGCAGGGTAAAACACAAGGAGTATCGACCAACGCAATTTACCTGCAGTAAATCCAGAGTTATTGGCATACTTTTCAGCTCTTTCAGTAAATCTATTGCTCCTTCCTGGAAGAGTAAAGAAATGCTACATATTAACACTACCTAACAATCAACATGAGTCCAATTTGCTTCACAAAAGCAACATGAGAACATGTCTAGCAAATTATTAATTTCAAAATCCAGCCGAGCAAAGAAAATGTTGTTTGAGGAACACAAACACGCCTGGTTAAACTCACAGTTCTTGTAGCAAATAACTGTTGTGCTACATTGCGCAATGTTTCTCAAATCAAGACAACTTTATTGTTTTCCCACCAATGAACAATTCCTACTACTGAACAATTTTCACCTTGCAGCATTCAAGCAACACACACACACACATCTGAATGTACCTTTCATACAAACACACACACAAACACACACACACATATCTGAATTTACCTTTCATACAGGGGAAGGAAGAACTACCAGTCACATTACAATATGCAAGTGTATAATAGCCGCCCAGAGTGGTAGAATATACCAGATGGGCAGGATATAAATCGAATAAATACATAAATAAATAAAGTGTTCTTGCCCAATCATGCCAACGTTTGTTTTTTTATTATTATTACAAACAGAAGAAACAGCAGTCAAGAAAAACAGATGGCATAAAAGGTGGTGCCAGCCGCACAATCGCCACCAAAACACACTGGAGCTTCCAAAACACAAGGCTTCTGCAACCAATCTGGATACAGAGAGTTGCCAACCGCTCTTTTAAGTGGAAGACTGTACCCACCATAAAGTACAGAAGTGAAAGAAGCGTGTGTTCGGCAGCACACAAAACAGATCAGATGAGCTTTTAAAAATCTTTTAGAAAACACCAAATCCAGGTAGTTAAATAAATCTGCAGGTTGCAAAGGATGTTCAGTCAACCGGCTTCACCTGGCCCCCTTCCATCTGTCTCTTCCCACTCTTCTTGCCCTGTCAAGGTCTGATAAAGGAATGCGAGGGCTAGCCAAGTAAATCGTCTGGAATGTGTCTCCAACTCCAGAGCAGCTTCCCTACCCATTTCATAAGATAAGGGCTCTCTTGCTGGGTTCAATCAGTAAATGCTCTGGGTTTTTTAAACAAAACCTCTCCAGTACGAGTAACCACAAACGGAGGAGGAGGCTTAAACCGGCCCCTCTCCCTTTCGACCTTCCATTATTTATAAAACAGGCTTGTTTTTCTGTTTCACCTCTGAAAATGATTTAATCCCCAGAACAATCCAGAATTGCACAGGCCATGAGATTGATATGAAAAAAAACAAGCCAGGAGCGATAGTATCTAGAAGACACTATTTGTTCTCATTAAAGCTGTTCCTCTTCATCTTTCTGAAAGTCAGGAAAATACAAATCCTTTCAAACTAGCATTTCTGATTTCACTGGAGTTTTTAACCATCTCTTTAAACAGCAGGATAATAATTACGTGGCTCACTTAGATATTTGCTTTATCCTTTTGCTATTGTATTATACTAAAAGATCGAAGGCATTCCAAAAGATAAAGGCTTTTTTTAAGCGGGAGAAATTATACACTTAACCAGCACAGATAATGCTCAGTATTTTATGCTATCTTTTCACCTTTGAAAAATTGTGCACATTTTGCAAGGCAAATTAGCTCACTGGCCAAAAGCCTACAGGGTACTTACCAGGGATTTAAGTGTACTGTATTTGTATAAATCATGGCAGCAAAGTACAGTATCACGAATTTATAAGCTGCCACTTACCAGAGTCTAGCAGGGCTGAAGGCCACTCATCCATAGGAACACCATTAGTCGGAAGTGACGTGACAGCACATAATAGCAATACTTTCATTCCTGGTCACAAGTCAAATTGCAGACAAGACACACAACCAGGAACGCAAGCAGCAACTTGCTAATTACTAGCAATTTCCAACTGCAATTGCTGTAATTGCACTTACACTGGCATAAATTTCCTATTTTCATCATTGTGACTGCTTGCAATTTGTGCTGTGGGCAGGATAAGCTGTCCTGAAATCAGATTTTATGGCAAACTATCATGTGTTAAACTTTGGGTTTATGTTGTGGGTCATTATATTGCAAGAATGACAGAGAGTGGACAGAGAGGGAGGGAGAGAGGCCATTATTTTTTTTAAAAAAAACCTCCTAAATGTGGGCTATTTTATACGAGCTTAAAGTGTTACTAAGACTTTTGTTTTTTCATTTCTCTTTCATTTTTTGTAACACCTTTCTAGGGCTGACGTGGCTTTCTAGGGACATGGTGGCATTGCAGGCTAAACCGCAGAAGCCTGTGCTGCAGGGTCAGAAGACCAAGCAGTCGTAAGATCGAATCCATGCGACGGAGTGAGCGCCTGTCGCTTGTCCCAGCTCCCGCCAACCTAGCGGTTCGAAAGCATGCAAATGCAAGTAGATAAATAGGGACCACCTCGGTGGGAAGGTAATGGCGTTCGGCGTCTAGTCGCACTGGCCACGTGACCACGGAAGATTGTCTTTGGACAAAACGCTAACTCTATGGGTTGGAAACGCAGATGAGCACCGCCCCTTAGAGTCGAATACGACTGGACAAAAATTGTCAAGGGGAACCTTTACCTTTACCTCTAGGGCTGACAGGTGATGACTGTGGACTATTAGGGTTACTAAGGAAAGGACAGGTTGGAAAGGCTTAAATAAAGAGCCCCATCTTTTCCTACAGGACTTCGGTGCTATAGCAATGCTGGAATCAAAACAGGTTTCCTTTTCAGGCAAAAACAAAAGGAAAAGAAAAAAAAAATGTCTAATGTCCGAGGAAGTGGATTTGTCCATGAAAGCTCACATTCAAATATAGCAGTTAGTCTTTAAGGTACCAGAGTTGTCTATTGCTCACATTCAAATATAGCAGTTAGTCTTTAAGATACCAGAGTCGTCTATTTTTTTGTTGTGGTGATGGTGGTGTTTTTGTCTGACATGCTAGCGCAGACTAACATGGCAACCTCTTCTAAAACTACTACTGTTGCCCAGCCCAGCTTTAGACAAAAGAATTCATGCAACTGATATTTTCTGATCCTTGTTCATGGTGAGAATATCAGCAAAATATAGCAGTTAGTCTTTAAGATACCAGAGTCGTCTATTTTTTTGTTGTGGTGATGGTGGTGTTTTTGTCTGACATGCTAGCGCAGACTAACATGGCAACCTCTTCTAAAACTACTACTGTTGCCCAGCCCAGCTTTAGACAAAAGAATTCATGCAACTGATATTTTCTGATCCTTGTTCATGGTGAGAATATCAGCACATTTACTTTGGCCTACGGAACTCCCTTTCTTCTTGTTCCTGTTCCTCTACTACCAGACGTTGGATGGCAACATGACCCTTCCTGGGGAGGGCAGTTCTAAAAGATGAAGTTGCAGAAAAGAGTCTCCAAGGTTCTTCAGATAACTTCGTTCCTGTGCTGCTTTTATTTTACCCTGAATAATCCACCCTAGCAATTGCAACTTTTCATGTCTCATCATATGAACCCAGCATTTTAGGATTTCATGATTTCTTAGTCTTCGTTCATTCTTTTTACCATTTCTTTGTGGGTCATCCTCTTAACCCATAAAATTCTTTAAAACCCAATTGAAAACATGGTTGTTCATTCAGGCCTTCCCTCCAGCCAACTCTTGATTTCTTATTTTTTTCTTACTTTTCCCTATCCTTTATTTCGTTGTAGCTATTACTGAATTATCATGTACTTACCTGTGTTTTATTGTCTGATTTTGTATTGGAAGCCGCCTAGAGTGGTCTGGTAGTCCAGATAGGCGGGGTATAAATCAAATAAATAAATAAATAAATAAATAAATAAAATAAAGCCACGCTGCAAATTTTTCTAGCTTTTTTTTTCCATCAATAATTCTAGGCCATAGATAAGAACCAAAAATACACAATACCCTGCACATCCTCAAACCCAATTTTAAGCTTTTCTTGCACAACCCCTCATGCATTCTTCCTTTAAAGCAGAGCTCCCCTGGACCACCTCTGTTCATTTATTTATTTATTTATTAGATTTATACCCCGCCCATCTAGACCAATGGTCTACTCTGGGCGGCATTACAACATTTTAAAAGCAATAGAACCAATAAACATGCAAGAATCCAAGATGTTAAAAATGCAAATATTAAGATACAGCAGGAGGGAAAGCCATTGAGCACCCCCATTCTGTGAGCTGTTCGCTGAAAAACCTAAATGGGAAACGAAAACCAACATTCGCCAAACTGAACCCTCATCAGGACCAAAAAGGCAGGACGTCCCGGACTAAAGGGAAGAGGCGTGGCTGAAGGCGAGAAGGGGCGGGGCCAAGGGGCGGGGCGAGCTGCGAGCGAGAACGGGCGGGGGGCGGAGCTGGGAGGGAGCAGGAAGGCTAGAGTGAGGGCCGAGCGAGCTCGGGAGAATGTGGGCGGCGCTTGACCCTCGCGCCGGGGGCGGGGCTTATTTTTTTTAAAGCGCCAGGGGCGGGGCGACGAGGGAAAAAGCCGTTGGGACGGCGCTGCTGGGGGGCGGGGCCAGTCTCTCGGGACGCAGGAGCGTTGTTGTCAAGGCAACGAGGGGGGGAAAGACCAAGTGGGGAGCAGGGGAGCGCTGGCGGGCTTGCCTTCCCTCACGACGAGGGGGAAAAAAAAACCTCTGAGGAGCTGAGCGGCGGCCTTCTCTCTGTGAGGGCGTTGAAGACGACGGGCGGCCTTCGGGAAGACTTGGCGCCTGCCTCCCCGCCTGTTTCCCCCCCTGAAGGGGCGGCAAAATGAAGGGAACCGGCCGGCCGGCAGTCCCTCCGTCGGTCGGTCGCTGCCCGTCAGTCTTGCGGCGGAGCCAGTCCCTCCCCCGCTTTTCTTTTCTTGGCGACCATCTTGTCGAGCAGCTTGGCAATGCGCACGATTTCCTCCTCCCCGCCCATGGCGCCGGCCCCCCCACGGCTCGTCCTGGGCTGTCGGGGGTGAGGAAAAGAACCCCAAGAGGCTGCCGAGCGAACCGTGCCGCAGTCCGGCCGGCCGCGGGAAGAGCAGCGGTCGGTCGGTCGCTGCCCGTCAGTCTTGCGGCGGAGCCAGTCCTTCACTCACCGCGCTTTTCTTGGCGACCATCTTGTCGAGCCGCTTGGCAATGCGCACGATTTCCTCCTCCCCGCCCATGGCGCCGGCCCCCCCACGGCTCGTCCTGGGCTGTCGGGGGTGAGGAAAAGAACCCCAAGAGGCTGCCGAGCGAACCGTGCCGCAGTCCGGCCGGCCGCGGGAAGAGCAGCGACCGCCTCACACACACACATATACACACACGGCCGCCTGTTCCGTTGTTTGCGCAGGCCCGAGGAACGACGGGAAACGTAGTCCCGCCGCGCCCCTCGGGCTCCTTCAACGGCCGGATCCGAAGGGCGAGCCGGGACTACAGCTCCCGGAGGGCAACGCGGCGACGGCTGTGTGGGGATGCGTGAAGCATTGTGGGAGTTGAAGTTCTGCGTCGGGAAGGGTTGTATGCGTAGCTCCGAAGGAAAGGACTACAAGCCCCACGATGCTCGTTGGCCCCGTAGACTTTCTAGCATCTTTGGATTATGCGGGGAAATTGGGGTTTTGACAGAATCAATGAAATGAGGCGAAAGAGTAAAAAAAAAAAGGGAGAAAACTGGAAAGATGATAGGAGAGAATGAGGAGAAAGGTGCAAAGAACAGAAAAACTGCAGTTGAAGGGGCTTAATCTATGGATGATGGAGTTAGGTTGGCTATTCCCACAAAGTTTGCATAAAACTGTTTATACCAGTTTATAGGCTGATGTGCTAAGTCTCTCCCATTCTGTGAGCATCCTAATAAGGTATGTGAAATGTTCACTGGGTACAGTGGCTAGAGCTGATGGGAGCTGAGGTCAAACAATATCTGGAGGCCCACACTTTGCCTCATTCTGGATTAATCAACTGTCTAATGTGAGAAGAAAATGTGGTAGGATGAAAAATCAAGGCCATTTGTTGTCTCTTTTGGTATTTTTCTATTTCTATTTTATTCAAAAAGAAACAATTAATGAGAGAAAATGGATAGTAATTCTACAGCATGTGGCAAAACTCTATTGCATGGTCTCAGATCAATGGCTAACCATTAAAGGAGCACCACTTAAGTAATGAGGAACGTGGTCCTCCTTTGCAGAGGATCATGCAAACAGGTGGACGTCTAGAGGCAAGCTAGGCAGCCCACTCCATGACAAGAGGAGTGTGAAGGCATATATAATTTACTTTTGCATAATTCAAGATTACACAATCAGTCTACATACTTCTGAACCGGTCCAGTCTCTCGCAACTCTTTCCATTCACTGTGTTTTGTAGAGGAGATAGAAAATGAATATTGCCCATTACTTTGCTTCTGTAGTACAGTGTAATTGGGTTTGGGAACACTTGCCTTTGATACCTGAGGTGGTGTCTCTGTCAGAACTGAGACACTGTCCTTTTGCAACTGCTGCTGAAATGACTCGTAGCAATAGTCCATGAAGCAGCTGCCTTCTTCATGTGAGATTTCTTGAAGAACTTCCTCCCAGGGTATAGAGTTAGTGAGATCTGGAGAGGGATTCTTCTTGCTTATTTCCACTATTATCTTATTCAGCATGACATGCTCCTTCCCTGTAAGCGGCTCAAGCAGCTTTATAAAAACGTGTTCAGTATTTTTCCCTTGCCGGTTTAATATAGACAATCCTATTTTGTTTTCAATTTGTCCCACATAATCTGATGACAGCCAAAGAAAAATGATGAAATCATGTTTCACAATTGAGGGATCATTATTCATCCACAGTCCCAACCTTCTTAAGTGCATTGGATCCAGAGACAGTTCTATTTTCTTATTATGAGCCACTTCAAAAGGGATCTTAATGCATCTGGTTGTAAATCTGAAACAATCTGTTGATGGTCCTTTGTATTTCCCAACAAAAAGCATTTCAAACTTGAGATCTAAGGCAAGGTCCAACTATTCCCTGAGGATGCTGTCATCTGCAATAGACTTGATTGTAAGCAGTTCCTCTGAAACCTGTTCTGTTTTGTTTTCAGTTACGCTCTGGGACAGAACTTCTGGAACAAGTAGTTCAGATTCTTGTTTCTTTTCTTTTTTCTTATGTCCGTAGCCTTTCCCAGTCTGGAAATGCTTCTCTGGACCTTTTGCTTCAACATTTCCTTCTTCATCACCAGAAAGCACAATTGGTTCAACTGGATTAGCTCTCTCCTTACTTTCAGGCTTATTCAATGGCTCTTCTGGAGGCAGAGTTCTGCTTCTTAGCAACAGGGACCAGTGGTGGCATCTCTTTCTCCTTGCTAGTGATAGAAAGCACCTCTGTCTTGGAAGAAGATTTTGAGCTGTTCTCATGTGCAGAGGAGTTACATTGATTTAGAGAAACATCACTCTGTCTTCTGCTTTCACTGTTTTGAAAATGTGTTTCCTTCAAGTTAGGAGTTTCCTTCAGGTTAGGAATTTGATATCTGGGCTCTTTCCTTCTTTTCTCTGTCCAGTCCTCTTTTTTTATGAGATAATTTTTTGCATCTTTGGGTGGTTTCCAGTCATTTGTCATTCTATGGCATCTTCCATACCTTCCAGATATTAAAAGGCTTTCACGAAGAGGACTTAGTATTTGCCATATCTCTACACTGTCAACAGATGATGAGGTTTGTTGATCTGTTTGCAACTTGACACCATGAGATAAATTAGCATCATTTATTAGCTGTGTCTTTATGTATTTTCTTCCTATTTCCGTCTCCAGGACATTCGTCAAATAACTTTGGGTTGCCTGCCATACCTTTTAGATAAAATATGGCTTTGTTGACAGCTTATTTTTTGACATGATTCTAGGTTGGCAATAGATGAGGAGAGCTGTTCATCTGACTGCAACATGTTAGCATCTAATACATTAAGATCATTTAAAAACTGTTTTTGCATATACAGTGGTGCCTCGCTTAACGGGCGCCCCGTTTAATGACGAATCCGCATAGCGATGAAATCGCTTTGCAGCGATTTTTGCTGCACGGATTATCATCGCTATGCGGGGCACCACTGTATTGTCTTCCTGTTTTCGTCCTCAAAACATTCGTCAAGGTAACTTTGGGTTGCCTGCCATACCTTTTAGATAAAATATGGCTTTGTTGACAGCTTATTTTTTGACATGATTCTAGGTTGGCAATAGATGAGGAGAGCTGTTCATCTGACTGCAACATGTTAGCATCTAATACATTAAGATCATTTAAAAACTGTTTTTGCATATACAGTGGTGCCTCGCTTAACGGGCGCCCCGTTTAATGACGAATCCGCATAGCGATGAAATCGCTTTGCAGCGATTTTTGCTGCACGGATTATCATCGCTATGCGGGGCACCACTGTATTGTCTTCCTGTTTTCGTCCTCAAAACATTCGTCAAGGTAACTTTGGGTTGCCCATAAGCTGATCCTTCACCACTGTTGCAGTGTTCAGAGTGCCTTTTCCTCTTCCAACTTGAATAAGTCTTATTTCTTGATCCTGAAGTCCACCCGTGTAGTGGGTTTTCCCATTGGTAAGCATCTGGGAGCCTTGACAATGGAGACTGAACATAAACATCATCTGGCTGTGCATCTTTGTTCAGCCCCTTCTTTGGTTGAACAAAGATGCACAAAGAAATGTAACTAGTGCTGCACTTATGTGCATACAATTTATGTCCCACCACATATACAAGAGAAGATATTAAAGGGCTGATATAATCTTAAAACCGTAGAGTTGGAAAGGATTCTGTATATAGATCATCAAGTCCAGCCCCATCAAGAACCCACAAATAGCTGAGATAATGCTATTGAAGTAGCCCACTTCTGGTCAACAATAGTTTAATTATCTTAACATTTAAATTTGTTTTTAATTTTATCTACATTTCATATATGTCCATAATTTTAAATTACATAATTCTCAGATACAAAGAAAGAAAGAAATATCACTTTGGGGGGGAGTTGTCTTTAAATTGGGCATGGACTGAGCAAGAGGACTGCTATTTGTAAAAAAGAAAAAGAAAAAAAAAGAACAGAAGATCAACCTGGAAGCCCGGAAGTGCATTTGCTACTAGTGCGCCAGCTGCACCTGTTTCTTGAAATGTCCAATGGGGTTGCCTTTGAGGCTGATG